GAGAGGGTGGTAAAAGTCTACTGAGATATAGTTTGTATTCGTCTATAAAGCCTCTTTAAATCTCTGATATGTTCTCCTGATTCTCTTCATAACACAATAATGATATGCACAGATATGAAATAAGAGTTTTAAAACACAGCTGATCTGCTCTGTGTACACTAACCTGAGTGAATCTGGACTTTGTATCTGTTGATTTGGATCAACTTTATCACAAGTTGCTTACAAGTGCTTGACAAGAACGTTATAATGCACAAGAATAAAAGGAAAGATGGAGACGTGACCAACCCCAGAACGTGGGCTTCGATGCTGCCCTGTAAGTAGAGCAGGTGGCCCATGTATAGAGGCTACATTTGTTAGCTTCTATACATTTGGTTCAAGCCACTTCTAGTCCTTCTCTCTTTAGCAGCACTATCAGATAAAGAGAAGGTAGTAAAGATGGCACACCATCTCTGCTAACCAGCAATCAGCGCCTCTAACTCATTGACTCACCGCATTGACTCATTTTAAAATTCTTGAGTGGCCCGCTCTTTCTGGCTGTAAACAAAGCCATTCTCCACCTCCCGACCATATTAGTTGTGAGGCGGACCCTGCTCCTTCGTGCTGATTGGTTGTGAGGCAGACACTGCTCCCCCATGTGGTGAGGCATGCTCCAAGGCCTCCAATAGCCCAAGAGCCCTAACAAAGTTAGTGTGAGCCCTAACAAAGTTAGCGTGCTACAATATTGGACAGAAGAAACCAACCAGAAATTACGGAAAATTATCTGTATTCTCCTTTGGCCATGACTGCCAACACAGGCAAGAGAACTAAGTAAACACCGGAGACTCTGGTGGAATAACGGGTGCTTAAAATGGAGGTAGACCGGAAAAGAGCTAAGAAGTAGGGTCGATGGGGGACGTTTCGGGATCTTACGAACCCTGTAACCTCTCTGCTGGACAGGTAAACCGCTTTAACAAAGTAAGCCAAGTGTCTGTGACAGAAGTGTTTGTCTAACGGGACCTGCTGTAGGTTGTTGCACCGCTAAATTGTTTACCTCTGGTCCTGGAGTATGTCACGTTATCCTAGTTGTAGAAGTCCTGCAAACATTGCGTTTGCTGGTAGTCTGTTGGCATCTACAGTTGCACCAATGCTTTTTAATTTCATGTTGACTGGTCCCATTTGTAATTATCTGAAGTATTTATCTGCATTATATCTGAATTAAATTGGAACGATACAAGCGAGCAGGAGTGTCTGTTTGTGGGCGGGGCTTGCCGGAGCAGAGAGGGAGGGGAGAGGAGGAGCTGAGGGGAAAACTGTTTGGGAGGGGTAGTGTTTATATTCAAGATTTCTCCCAAAAACTGGCGCCTCCTCAGATCCTGCCTACCCCACCTTTAATTCCCAATCTCCACAAATCGTCTGATCTACTGGTCTGGACAGAGGTTCTTATGAGTCCTTGTGACTCCAAATCCGCCAGGAAATTTGCCTCACCAACGCACAGGGTAGAAATTGACAGATGCCAAAAAATGCCGCCGTACCGCAGCAGTGCTGTTCTGTATGCGGTGGAAATTTACAAAAAGTCTCTGCAGGGTTTATTTTTGAGTGTGCTCTGCATGTTTACTTCTTTTAGTTCTGTATAAAAGACTGTCAGTGGTTTCCAGTGTGCTGCGGTGGAAAACATATGATTAGGAAAAAAAACATATTTTGTTGTAGGAAACAATTCATTGATAACACTTTTACAGGATACTTTGTACAGACATTCTTTGTCCAAACAAATATTTTGTTGGCAGCTCATCAAAAACAAGTATTTTCACAGACTGGTCCAGGTCAGTTGCAGTTATTTAAAACGTGTCTTGTTTTGAGGTCGAAGGTTTCACCATTACTGCTCTTCCCCTGCACATCAGTATCAACATACACAGCTGCAGCAGAGATTGCGAGAGTATGCATTGCACCCTCATTTCAAAGTTCTGCACTTTATAACGAATAGATGCATAAAATTCCCTTTTTTTCCCCACATTCCTACAAAAATTTTCAGGGTTAAAATGACATCAGTTAGTCAGGCACATCCACAGTCATGACAGGTGCACATGACCTGTCCAGCATGACATTTGCAGTGTGCGTGCAACCACAGGGCTCGAAATTAAAAAAATTTGAATGGTTCCAGAAGAATAAGAACATTAGCCCTGATTCCCATCAAGACTCAATGCCCAAACCTATTCATGAGTGATTATTTTAAATATGGTGATTTCAGTATCAGTCAAATAACCTTGACTTCCGTCAAGTCTATCAAGTTGAAGTGGAAAAAACTGGTCTGAAGTCACTTTTGTTGATTTTTCATGTCAAATGTTGGTGCATAAATCAATATTTAAAGGACACAAAATCATATTTATGAATAGATTTGACTTATTTATCTTTTTCTCAGAGAAGATTTTAGTAAACCTCATTCAAGTCTCCCGAGTGTCTGTATTTCCTTCAGTTTTACCTCCCCTTTTTAGTTTAATTTTAAAGGTAAATCTGTGCTGCGGCTCTCAGTATGTGACGACAGGCTGTTTTTATTCTCCTGGTCTGGCTACACTGAGAAAACGTTTCAGATTCATTTTTCTGACAGCAGAGAGACTCCGATCAGCTCGCCCGTCTTTAACCTGAGTCCTGATACCTGAGGGAGCATACCTGCATGTTTTACCCACCATTTAACCCAGATTACAGCCTAAATATGAATACAGCTCTGAACGCTTAATTCCCCATTAAATCAGGGGGTGGAGGGGGCGTGTTTGAACAGGGCCGAGTGTGACCGAGAAATCGCCATGGCGTCTTAAATGAATTCAGAGCAGAAGCCCCTCGGGTTTCCCCCAAGAGAGTCACGAGTAATACATCATATTGCTCTTAAAATAGCTATTAGCCACAGTAAGGAGAAGGAGGAGGAGGAAGGGAAATTAAGCAATGTTCACAGAGTCATTCTCATACAATAACTCACCATTAACCTCAGCACTAAAAGGCGCTGTCTCTCCCTGTTATGTGCCTTTAATTGATTCTCTCGGTCCCTCTGCGGGCCAGAGAGGAAGAGGAGAAGATGAGCAAGAAGGAGGCCAGCCGTTCCTCCTCTTCCTCCTGACTGTCAGACAAGCTAACAGGCTGGTCTGAATGGCTGGTGCGTTGCCTAATCCCTCTCAAACTGCAAACATCAGAAACCTTTTCGCCAACTTTATGTCCTGTGTATCTCCAATTAAAGCAGCACTGCCAGATAAGCACGGTAATGAGAGAATCTGAGGGAAATTAGACACACAGCACTAATCTGAAACTGAGGGGAGAGCGCTAAGATTAGGATTTAATCTACTCAGATCCATTTCTGCTGCTCAAACTGTCCGTGCTCCCATTAAGGTTAACGTACGACACGAAAACAAACAGCTCCGTGATGAGGTTTGCTCAAGAAGCGTGATTGAAATCCCATCCTTCAAATTAACATACATATATGCAAATCAGCTCTTAATTAATTGCAAAGCGTATTTTTGATTAAATACTCCAAACGTCATGATGCTAATCTTGACCGGGAAAAAGAGGGAAAAGTTTTAATTAATTTTGCCAGTTAAACCTCATCAACACTTTGAATGGAGTGTAATTAGGACGCCGCCCTCTCCTCTTATTTCTCCAAAATCAGCCATTGTTATCGGGATTGTAATGCGAACAGAGAGGCGATGAGGCCGCGATAAAGGAGCATGGGTCTGATTTCATAAGCAAAGTAAAATAATGCTGCTAATTGGCAGATATTCTAATATTGATTAAATTAGACGGAAAACACTTCTTTCATTATGGCTCTGTAATACAGACTCGTCTCCATCTGAGGGATTACCAATTAAAGAGGCTTTGTGGAAGTTTTTCAGAGTGATGGGCGAGCGAGGGCCAAATGAAATGAGGCCTGTAGCAGGAGAGAGAGAGAGGCTGAGTGTTTACAGAGGCCTGTGTTTGTGTAGGAAGTCACAGCTAATGATGTATTCATCCTCCTCGCTGTGGAACTACATGCCAACTCCACGTGTACTCTGCTCAATTATGTGAAGAGGGAGAGCTGATAATGAAAACTAACATGGAGCCCCCGAGTGGATCCAGATCTCTGTGTGTTTGTGTGTGTGTGTGTGTGTGTGTGTGTGTGTGTGTGTGTGTGTGTGTGTATCTCCTCTTTCATCATGCCCAGAGAGAACTCCTCACACTTTCAAAGCCTCCAAACTTTCCCCCCTTCTTCCCTCTCCTCGCCAAGCCGAAGCCGAAGCCGAAGCGAGCAGCCGTCCACTTAAGAGCATCAGGAGGCTTACGGGAGGATAAGACCCCGAGAGGTGCTCGAGGTGAGATAACCAATTACCCATGATCACTTTTGACTCTTCTAATCTCCCCGCTGTATCGGCAGGATTTAGCCGCCGAGGCACCTAAGAAAGGCGGCCATTTTTAACCTGCCGCTGGCCGTCTTTGTTATTCTAATGTCAGGCCCTCGACTTACGCTTCAGTCAAAGAGGATAAGCACCTGTCGAGTAAAAAGAGCTGGAGAGGGGGGAGGGTATGTGACCTGATAAGCAGACAGCAGAGATCGATTGGAGAGATTTGAGGGAGTCACAGATTAAAAAAAAAAAGAAAAAAAAAATCTGATAATTAACTGTCCAAAATTTTCACATCAAATTTGACTTCAACAGCCCACATTTTCATACAAACTGCAGGTTCGCACCTGGGCTCTCTTATAATACAAGTTTTCACAGCAATGGGACACCATACCCATCACACTCCAGTCATGATGCGATGGCGAACTGAATGGCTGATTTCCCAACAATGAACAGAAAAGAAACAAAACTGATCTTCCTGCACACTGACACACAACATGCAGCAATAAACCTCATTGTTATGTAAATGAACAGTCACTCCGTCAACCAGAATTTATTGACGATAAAGCTTTAATCTGTTGTTAATTCAGATTTCACTCATACTTCAAAGTTCATTTTTGTAGTTTTGGGTTTCAGTCGCATTTCTTCCAGTTCATCTTAAGAGGGATGTGCAACAAAGTTGGTGAAGTTAAAACAGGAGGAGAGAGGAGAACAGGGAGAGGAGCAGAGAGGAAAGCAGGAAGAGGAGCAGGAAGAAAGAGGAGAGCAACAGGAGGAGGAGAGCAGAAGGAGAGAGAAGGGCAGGGAGAGGAGCAGAGAGTAGCAGGAGGAGAGCAGGGAGAGGAGCAGAGAGGAAAGCCGGAAGAGGAGCAAAAGGAAGGAGGAGAGCAGGGAGGAGAGCAGGAAGAGCAGAGAGGTGAACAGGAAGAGGAGCAGGAGGAAAGAGGAGCAGGAGGAGAGAGGAGAGCAGGAGGAAAGAGGAGGGCAGGGAGAGGAGCAGGAGGAGGAGAGCAAGGAGAAGAGCAGAAGGAGAGCGGAGAAAGGGGAAAGGAGCAGAAGGAGGAGAGCAGGGAGAAGTGAAGAAGGAGAGAGGAGAACAGCAAATGAAACTGAATGTGGGGCACTGTCACTCAAATGAAGTCGAAGTTTTTTAAAGTGAAGTGAAAAAAGAAAAGAATGCTTAAACATCAAAAACTAATGTTAAAATCTCTAAAGAAATGTCTTTAATAAACTGTTGTTAAAATCTTGAAATAGTCACACTGAATTAAACAAATACAGACAGGGAGTTTTCCACTCTCTGCCTTCTTCAGTATAGAGTGGGTGCACTTTTTCCACCTCTGAGATTTCGTCAGGTCACCATGTCTTTCCCATGGAGGCAGAGCGACACACATGTTGGTTATAAAACCCACATGTTGCTGTGGTGTTATTGCAGAACAACTTGTTTTTCAGGGGAGCATGGCGGTGTGTGCTGCTTCACAGATCTGATCCAACCAGTCCAACAGATTTTTGAACTTCTGCATCCAGAGTTATGAGGATGAAACTTTACAGGCTGTCACTCTCAAACCAGCGATTAAAATGCATCAGCGTTTTGAAGCTGGTCTTTGTCATCCTCTGCCTGCTAGATGACACACAGAAACTGTTTGTCCCAAATAAACATGCTGATCCAATCGAACCCGGCTATGAGGCGGAGTCCTAAAAGCCACAATCTGTACTGATTCATCATTTCTCACTTTATTTATCGACCTTTACTCTTCATTCTTGCTGTCAATCATCCCGTCTGTGAGGTCAGCACATGGGCCTGATTTGTTAGCTAGTGTTGGGCAACTCTGGCAAAACTCTGACAACTATTCATCACTTTCTGACAAGCAGCTCCTCTGCATGTTCTTCTGTGGGCGGGTGAGACAACCCGTGAGCCTGAGTGATCAGTCCTTTTCTGTACACACCTTCTTCAAACTGTCAGGTCAACATGTTTGTGATGCCTAAACAGAACAACTCTGTAAAGGGATAGTGGTTTTCCTTTTTGAACACTGGTAAATAAAACTACCCCTCCACTATGCAATCCAGTCCAGTTCGGTTCTTGACATACTATATGTGTTAATTTTCCAAAGTTGAGAACCTGTACTGTCCTTGATGGTGTTGGTTTTAAAGTCTCTGCAAAGACATGTCGTCTTACTGGACTCAAACCCCAGAGTTCTCTTGGATTGTGCAGAGTTAAAAGTCCAGCCTGAAGCGAATATTTCTGTTTAGAGTTGCGAGGATATTCAATTAAAAACGGTCCATTTCATTTAGAGTGAGCAGATTAAACTCTAACACATATGGCTGATCTGTGGCCACTGATGATATGGTCTATATGTGAATGCAGTTAGGACCAAGCAAAAAGTAGAGTTAGTATTTATTAAATACTTTAAGATGTAACCTGGGCCTAAAGTTTTTGAAGTTTACAATGAGTGTTGAGAGCGTCACATTTAGTCTAATATCTGGATAAAAACACATTCACAGAATCTCAGAGACATTATAGTACAGTATCTGCAGTGGGACCAGTTTGTCTTTCCGTCTGGCTCCTCACCAACCTTTAAGAAATGTCAAGTGGCTCGTGCAGCTGAGGGATACTCTCACATCTCAGAGTCTGTGCTGCACTTTAGGCCATAGAGTAGCTTCATGAGAATATCAGAGGTTTCTGAGAGGGCAGCGAGTTCGACAGAGGGCGGCTTCTGCTGATGGAAGAGAACATTTTTGAGACCTGGATGTGGATTTATGGACAGAACTGTCAGACAAGCTGCTGGAAAGGCCAGGGGCCAGACCGAATGGAGGATTTAGTGTCCCCGACCAGTGCAGCAGACATGATTTTAAGGCTAATGGTCAATCCTGAACAAGCATGTAAAGCATGAAGAAATAAGAACCTCTTGGATGGTGTTACTGATTTTAAAAATGTGCAGAAGTGAGATTTAAGGATCATGTTTTTATCTCATGCAAATGAAAGTCATAAATTTGGATTGCACTAGAGCTGACCTTTATTGTGAGCTGGTTTAAGCCTAGTATTAGTTTGATCAGAGTATTCCCAAATCCAGGTCATTCTCATGCAGCACAAACCTTATGAATCATCTTCTCTGCAGAAACCTGCTGCAGAGACTGGTGATGAGAAAGACTCCTCATCGCCAGTCTTTGATACGTTTTGTCCTTCATATTCATCTCTTTCATCTCTTCATCTCATACAGTGTGTGAAGAGAGAGAAATTATTTAAATCAAATTTACTTTTCAACAGTCTCATCTGAATGTATGTGATCGCTTGTGTTTTTGAGGCTGGCCTCTAGTGGACACCTGAGAAACTGCAGTTTTTGGCTTGACAGGATTGGCCTCATTTCTGAAGACTCTGGGTTAGTGCATAGTTTAAAAAGTCCTTCAGATTGCCTTAAAGCTTGATGACATATACCTATAACAAGAGCTGATGTCATGTGCCAAAAACTGCAGTTCCTCCTGTGTCCACCAGAGGCCATCTCCAAAAGTGAGTCAGTCACTTTTCAATTAATTCAGGATTAATTTCTGAAAAACCAACCCCATTTTGAATTATAATGAGGATTACACTTTATGTATAACTAGGAGGTGTACAACACTGTGAAGATGAGTTGCCCTTTTTTTTTGTTAAGAGGCCAGCAACACAAACAGTTTAATGTTCTGCTTATTCCCTGGTGTCACACACTGGGCTCTGACACTGAAGTTGAACAGTGTATCTACAAAACCCAATTCCATTGAAGTTGGGAAATTGTGATAAATGTAAATAAAAACAGAATAAAATTATTTGCAAATCCTCTTCAACCCATATTCAATTGAATACACTACAAAAACAAGATATTTATTGATTAAACTCATAAACTGTTTTTTTTTTTTTCTTTTTTTTTTTTTTTTGCAAATAATCATTAACTTTAGAATTTTATGGCAGCAACACGTGCCAAAGAAGTTGGAAAAGGTGGCAAAAAATACTGAGAAATTTGAGGAATGCTCATCAAACACCTATTTGGAACATCCAACAGGTGAGCAGGCTCATTGGGAACAAGTGGGTGCCACGATTGGGTATAAAAGCAGCTTCCCCAAAAATTCTCAGTCATTCACAAGCAAGGATTGGGCGAGGTTCACCACTTTGTGAACAACTGCATGAGCAAATAGTCAAACAGTTTAAGAACAATGTTTCTCAGAGTAAAATTGCAAGGAATTTAGGAATTTCCAATATCTATGGTCCATAATATCATCAAAAGGTTCAGAGAATCTGGATAAATCACTGCATGTAAGCGGCACAGCCAGAAACCAACATTGAATGCCTGTGACCTTCGTTCATCAGGTGGCACTGTATCAAAAACCAATATCAGTGTCATAGCCCTGGCTGGAATTCCTCAGCCTCCTGCTCCTCTGCCTCCACCCCCACCTTTGCAATCAAGACACCTGACCTGATCACACACCTGCATCTCATCAGCAGTTCTTCAAACACCCTGACTTCCCCTCCACACGCTGCCAGATTATTCAGTCTACTGCCTGGTAGTGAACTGGCTGCTCTGCTCAGAGTTTTTCCCCTGAGACCTGTTTCCTGTGAAACTAACTGTTTTTTACCTCCACCAAGGAGGTTATTACCTCCGCCAAGAAGGTTATGTTTTCGGTAGCATTGGTTGGTTTGTTTATTTTTGTTTTTCTGTTAGCAACTGTATGGAGAAAGTAACAGACGGATTGACCTGAAATTTTCATAACTCAATCTGAACTCAGACACTGCCTGCCACTGCCTGTAATCATTAAAGAACCCTGTTCCTCTGTCATCAGCCTGTTGTCCTGTCAGCTCTTGGGTCCTGTATTATTACCAAACACGTCAATCAGTATGTAAAGGATATCACCACATGGGCTCAGGAACACTTCAGAAAACCACTGTCAGTAAATACAGGTTGTCGCTACATCTGTAAGTGCAAGTTAAACCTCTACTATGCAAAGTGAAAGCCATTTATCAACAACATCCAGAAATGCCGCCGGCTTCTCTGGGCCCGAGCTCATCTAAGATGAACTGATGCAAAGTGGAAAAGTGTTCTGTGGTTTGACGAGTCCACATTTCAAATTGTTTTTGGAAATAGTGGACGTCATGTCCTCCGGGCCAAAGAGGAAATGAACCATCTGGGGGGTATTCCACAAAGCTGGCTAAAGAAGGCTGGGCTATCGCCGGTAAGCGTGGCTTGAATAAGCGGCCACTTTAATCTTAGCTGCGACTCGTTCCACTAACGAGGCTCAGCTGTTTTTTCAGAGATGCTTATTCTAGCCAGGCTTATCCAACCCGTGGCTATGCGCGCCTCTACGTTACATTAAAAGCCCTGAAGTATCGATCGTCGAAATGACGAGATCATGGGAAAAAAAAGGGCAGAGCGGAGTCTTTCTCAGTGGCGGAGCAAACACTCCTCATGGAGTTGTACGAAGAATACAGGGGAAATTTTCAAAAGAAGGGCAACACTGTTGCCATTGTGAAAGCCAGGGAGATGGTGTGGTTAAGTATCGCGGACCGTTTAAATTCGTAAGTTATAGCCGACAAATACTTTACAACCGACGCATATCTCGATGCAGTCAGCCTGCTTGGCTGTCTAATTTTATTCCTCACTTCTGCATATGAACTGTAAACACTTTTTTTTTACTTTTCATCTCATGTATGTGCAGCTCACTCATACAGTCTGTCAGCCTCTGTGCAGCACCTTCGCAGCAAGCAGGGGCGCCTACAGCAGCAGGGGGCGCCAATTTGACAAGAGTTAATACAAAACCGCTTTGCGTTGCAGATTAATTGTTATTATCTTTTTTCTTTCTTTTTTGGAAGTGCTTGTGCCGCCCCCCATGAGTCATGACACAAATGCTGCCCCGGGCGGCTGCCTGGTTCGCCTGTGCCAAGAACCGCTACTGTACTGTAGGCATAATTCATGTTCTTGATTTGACAAATAGATATCCATAATGGATTAGTATAGCAGCTACAGGTAAGACCTAAAACCAAAGTAGGCAAACTTAGACAAAAAGTGAAGAAAACATGTACCTGGAGATGTCTTTCTTTTTTTTTTTATTAGGGATGATGG